CCAACTGGGGAGTCCTGCAATGTAATTGTTAGCAAGCTCGTAAGCAAGCTAGAGGACCCTGCTTTGATTTCCAGGTGGGGCGAAACCTTAGGCAAGTTTCCTTACTCCACGCTCCTCTGTTTACCTAGAATTAAGTAGGAACCCGGTTGTTAGTCGATTGGTGGATCGCTTTCATGGGGTGGTAATCCCTCAAAAAAAATAGGTCACTCAGTCTACGACTGTTTGTAGGACACTGCTGTGTGCAATACTGTCAGTCCACTTTACAGTATATTCTGTGAAGCGCTTTGAGACATCTCAACGATGTGATAAGGCTCTATATCAAATGTAAGGATTATTAGTATTTATTATAACTGATGCTCGCTGTCTGGGTTTATGTGAAGCAGCACCTCAGTTTGCCAGCACCCAGGAACTGTCCCCACGATCCCCACGTGACATTAGAAGTGTGGAGAAAATTAAAATTGTTACATTTGATATAACATCTATCTTCTCAAAGTGCTTTACAGATAACTATTGTCGAGCTGTATATTTATAGGCAGACTCAGTCGTGTACAAAACAAGGTCAACAACAACAACAACAAGATTCCATTTATAAAGCGCCTTTCACGTCAGGAGGACGTGGATATATAACCAATTTATTGGGGAGATTGTTGAGCAGGACTGGTGAATTGCTGGCCACACTTAAACTGGAATTATAAAATAATGTAAAGACAGACAATGTGCAGTTCATAAAACAGGTTATTTGTTTAGCTCACAAACTTTACATTAACTGTTCAATCCATTGTGAAGGAGGAGGAAATAGAACAGGCTGAATGAAGTGTGTAATGAAGTTGATTCCTTTTCAACTGTGCATGGTGTTGTAATGTACCATTGATATAGAGCAAATAATTTTCCCTAGTGCCGCTGCAGCAACACTTCTGATGTCTTTGAGAACAAATGTTTTGTTTGACAGTTGCAGCCTTGTTTTCTGTTCTCTGTAAAGTGGATGATAGCTAGGGTCAGCAACTAAAATACTGTAAGTGGGCTTTGGGTAAATTATTTTTCCTGACACATGCAGAAACCCATCACCACACTTCAGGGTATCCAAATGTGCATGCCATCTATGCAAGCTATCTGGGATGAAACATGCTCTCTCTCCCTGAGGGATCACCCTGCTTAATTCCAGAGAGTTCTGCTTAGAAGAGCAGAGTATTGGGTACCCGAGAGAGTGCACCAGGGTACTGCTGGTGTCTAACCAGCTAAAATTGCAAATTCACACTTTCCAGCAAGCTTTCTGCTGCTTGTCTCGCAAGAACCATCCTACTTGTTAGGGCTTTAACTAACTGAGTTAACAGGAGCCAAGAGGGTAACTTGGAAATAAAGGAAAGAGCATATATAGGTTTTAATAATAGTCCTTGCATTTGATATAGCGTCTTATCACACCTTTGACAGGTCTCAAAGCGCTTCACAAGTAAAGTGAATTGACTATATTTTGTGGGCAAAACACGACAGCCAATGTCCCACAAATAGGCGGGGATTGAGTGACCAATTTTTTTTTGATGGGATGATTACTCCCGTAAAAGTGATCCACGAATTGACTAATAATCGGGTTCCTACTTACTGCTAGATAAACAGAGGCGCATGGAGTAAGGAAACTTGCTCAACTTTTGGTCCTGCCTGGGAATCAAACCCAGGCCCTTCGCTTGAAGGAGAGTGCTTTGATGTAAGATGGATTTAGGGCAATTCATGTGGGCAAAGAAATAACTGGGGAAATTTAAATTTTCTTTTTCAGATGCTCTGTATCAAATCCTGTTTATGAAGACACTCCAAGCTTTTGGATTCGTAGGTAAATATTTGTGTAAAACATTGTTCCTTTCTGTTGAAGTTGATGTGGGTAATGTACTGAGTATAAAACTGGGCCCACTCAGAGCATCCACTCTAGTGTTACATTGAACCAAACATTGACTGCCAGGACAGAAAGGATCAAGGCCTTTGATTGGATAAGCTGACAGTGACGGTCATTATCGTACTTTTCTCTCAATGAATACTATAACAAGTACATTGCTATTGACTCTGAAGGAGACCATTTGTACACATTGGAGCTGAACCCTTACTTTGCTGAATCAGAAAATCATCAATCTTTGTGAATATGGAACTGGTTTCTCATTCACAGTGCTGTCTGCTCTAAAGTTATCATGAAACTAGTTGTCTGTCCTTTTTTTCAGTCAGCTGGTTGTCTGACACATGCAGAAACCCATCACCATGCTTTTAAGAGTATCCAAACCAAGCTACATTTCCATATATCTCACCTACACATGGAAATCCCAGAAATGGAATGTGCACTCTCTTCCTGGAGGGACGCATTCTGCTTACCTCATTTCAGAAAGTATTTGGTATTTGCCCTGTCCTTCAGATGAGACATTAAACCAAGGTTCAGTCTCTCTGCTTAGTTAAAAGAACCAGTGACACTATTTGAAGATTTACTTTTCAACATGGTGTTAGTTAATAAATTGAAGATGATCTCTTCTGATCTCGAGGTGAGAGCATTACCGACCGAGCTGATGAAATAATAATAACCTTTGCATTTGATATATTTGTCGAGACATCTCAAAGCGCTTCACATGAGTTACTATAAATTGTGTATTTGGAAGCGAATGGGTAGCTCATTTACACACAGTAATGTCTCACACACAGTTGTAAAGTGAATAACTAATTTTTGTTTGGAGAATTGTTGGTTAGGACACCAGAGGAAACTCCCTTCTCTTTTTTAGTGGGGCCATGGATCTTTAATGTCCACCTGAATAGGCAGACAAAACCCCAGTTTAAAGTCTCACTTGATGGACAACACCTCTGACAATGTATCACTCTCAACACTGTACTGGAATGTCAGTCTGTTAGTTCAAAATCCCAACTGGCTGACTGCCAGATCATCAGGTTGTTTGCGCAATGTGTAGTAAAAGTTGTTGGCGACCTGAAGAGCCACAGGTCAGGCTAGTTTTTTTTAGCTTGGGAAGCTGACCGGCTTTCTGTGTGCAAGCACAGTGAATGCAGAGGCATTAACCAGTAATTGTGCCCTGTTGTAAAGTGGTTGGGATTTTATGGATCGCTAACTACTGTATTATAAAAGGTTTCTCTACTACATTATCTGTGAACCACAGCTTGAGTTTTGTTTTGTTTGTTTATACTAATATATTTTCTTCCTCTATTGGTTTTATTAGAGGTGGACAACATTCTCATTAGAAATGCAGACTCTTTGGCCTCTCATTCTCACTGAGGCAGGAGCTCTAATACGTGAAATTCCTTATAGTCTAGGTGACCTACAAAGTGACAATTACATGGAGATTTTCAGAGCACAGGCAGCAATCTGAAGATTGCCATAATCGTTTCTCTACTATTTTGATCTCTGTAAGAAAGAACTTGATTTTTTTTGTCATACTGAAGCATCTCAAAGCTCTTTACTGTAATCACTGTCTATTATAGTATATCTCCATGCCTTTGCAGCTGCCCTAATATTATTGAAAATAACAAATTTCCCTCTGTCTGGAAAGGAATGTGCACGCTCCCTGAAGGGACACATCCCGCTTGCCTAATTCCAAGCATATTCGGTGCAGGTTGGTGAGTGCCATTGCCGAGTATGCGTTGCGATACTGCTAAAGTTTAACCAGTTAAAACCACATAACTTGCACTACCTGTCAAGCTTTTTGCTGCTTAACCTAACTCACTGTTAGAGTTTTGTCTTGCAGTATTAATAGGAACCAAAATAAAGAAGAATCCCTGCCCCACTGAGTGGGTTTACCCCTCCATGGACAAGAGAGGCTAGCATCAGCAGTGTCTTAACTATGAACCAAATCCGTCACAGAGGATTGACTTGATTCCCACATTCTGTTGCTAAGCACGTCACCTTACAGCCAGATCAGCTTCAAGAAAATCCCACTTCCCCCACCCCTAGGAGAATTAAAACAAATAATTTTTCTATTTGATGTAGTCTTCTAACATCAAAAACATCTCAAAACGCTTCACAGAGAGTTGCTGTCAAGTATAGTGACTCTATATTTGAAGGCAAATATATGGCCAAATTGCACATAGCAACTATGAAGGGAATTACTAATTTATCTGAAAAGATTACTGGCCAGGAGACCTGGAGAAACTCCTTTTTGTTTCAAAAATGTCACAGAAACTTTAACATCCACTTGAATAAGCAGAAAGGGCATCAGTTTAAAGTCTTATCCAAAGGGTGAGATACAAAGTACTTAATATACTTGCAAAATTGACTCTTTAATTCAATGGTATAAACCACTCTGTCATTGGCAGCTGCAGACAGTTTGATCAATGAAGGAGTTACTGCCAATCAATGGCCTCTGTAACTTTCCCATCTGCCTTTGCAAATTCGCTCTTTTTAATGTCAGCAGCTGATCAATCGCTAGCTCAAAGGCTTATTTTCCTCTCCTGGTATGTGTAGGCAGTACACATGAATTAATGTCCTTTTGACAGTCATCGGCATCAACAGCTATGCTAGCTCCCTGTCCCTGCAGCAGAGTAACGATTTCCTGGTGTGCTATCAATTTTGCAGGTCAGTGCTAGTTGGGTGGATAAGGAGGGGGAGGGATTGTGAAATGTGCTCAGAGCTGCTTCTTTTTATAACTTATTTCATTCCACAAAATGTTTGTGACTCGTCTCATTTGGGTTTGGCAGGTCTTATGGTGGAAACTGAAGCATAGGGGTTCCTGAAAATGAGTCACACACCAACTGCAAGGAAGCCATACCGGAAGGCACCACCCCAGCACCGGGAGATTCGGCATGACCCACCAGTTTTTAGGGATGAGCTAGAAGGGACAGCTGTGCCATCCGAGCAGAGCCAGGTAACTGAGTGCAGAAACGGCAAAGGTCTGGTTCTGACGCACAGGGGATACTGTTATACTGACAAGGTTGATGAAATAGGTGCGAGAGTGCAAAAATGTTCAGGAAAACCAGAAACATTGAACGCTCGCTTCTCTTCTTGCTTATGGTCTCTGGATTCTAGCAGTGAAAGTGACGATAGCCCTTGGTTCAATGGGCTGGATACCAGAAGCCTGTCTGCTGTTGAGTACAGCAGTGAAAGCCTGGGCAAGGTGCCAATTGGACAAGATGCCAGCTGCTCAAGAGCACAAGGTTTGAATAGGTTTAGGAGTAAAAGCAAGGAAACACTCATGATTTTCCTGGGTGAGGAAGGAGATTCCAGACCATCACAGAAAATCATGGATGCAGAGCGTAGTTTAGTCTTTAAAGAACCTGCTGAGATCCTGGGTTTCCGGGGCCTGGGCAGAACACAGGGCCCATTGCCCCGAAAAGGAATTCTAAAGCAGTCAAATATGCTGGGAGTCGAGGTTGAAAATCTCCGGAAGGCCAGGTCAGCTGAGGCGCTAGTCCAGAATAGGTCAGCTCATCTTTCTTCTCAGCAAAAAGAGAAAGGGGACAAGGGCAGAAGGGCTTCTTTTCAGGGTAAGCAGTCAGCAGGAGCACAGAGAATCATAGAGGAGAAACTTAAGTTTTCAAAGTTTCTGGATGAGATCACTTATCGAGTACTGAGTCCGTGCAACCTTCAGTCATTAAGAGCTGCGAAAGGCAAAGGGTTAGTGAATAATCAGTGCTCACTGGGGGCAAACCAAGACATTGGTCTCCAGTCCAGAGACTGCCAGGGAGAAATGCAAGAGGCTAAGAGAGATGGGTTGGCCAGAGGGTTGGGGGTAAATCGAGATCTGTCTGAGTGGAAGAAGAGAAACTGTATGGAAATTGGGTTTCGATCCAGGAAGGGGTTCCAGGAGATGAAGCGAGATGCAACTCCCAAAATGGTTAGAAAGCAAAGCCTAGTAAAAAAGAATAGTATTGAGAAGTATTCTAATGCAGAGAGAGAGGTGATAGACGTGCGGAGAGAAGCTATGGAGCAATATCCTAAGTGTACAGGGGAGCGAGTCAAAACAGGAAAAGATAGAGAGAAAAAAAGAACCCGGTTGTGGAGAGAGGATAATGAGGAAGGATATGCAGTGGATGAAAAGGGTGCACATGAAGTGTGGCCTCAGTATCTTGAAGCTGGAGACAGCCAGAAGGATGTTCTCGACAAATGTCGAGCTTCCCTAAATCCAGCTCTGGATTCAGATCAGGATACACATTTGGCTGCCCTGCAAATGGCATCTATCATCATTGGTCTGCAGAAGAAGGTAAGGTAACTATCAAAACATAACAGTTCAGCTAGTGTGTAAAGTATATGGTAATGGCACCAGACACTTTGAGAACCTACTTTGTACTTGTCACTTATATGCACTGGATTCTGTTCACCAAATTGTATTGTGTTATTAGGTCGGATAGATAAGCGTTACAGAATAATTCAAATTGGAGACAAGTGTGATAAGGGTTCTATCTTTGCCGGCTTTAAAAGCCTGTTCTTAGAAAGCAATTAGCTATGAAAGGCTACAAAATGTAAGCAACCGCCTTTTATGTGTGATGTTGTGATATGACTGAGACGTTCTGCATACAAAAGACATCTTGTGGTGGTTGATAGGTGCTGCAAGAAAAATCTGCATCTTTAAAATGTTAACATCTGTCCCCTCCACTCCACAATTGGCAGCCATGCTTTCATCCACTACTCCCAGAATCTCTGGAACTCTTTGCCTCAATTTTTCTGTCTTGCCTCCTCTTTCCCTGTCTTCAAATCACACCTGAAGACTTCTAATTAACCATGCCTTTGATCATTCTCCCCCCCCCCCCCCCCCCCCCCCCCCCCCCCCCGTCTTTCCAGTTCAGCATCAAGCTATACCGTTGCTAATATCTCCGAGATGCTCCCCCCCCCCAAGGCCACAATATAAATGCAAGTTGCTTTTGTTGCTTACGATATTAGTGCAGGTGTTTGAGCATATGCCCTACAAGGAAATATTCATTCATGCGCAGATTTTAGTTTGAAGCTATTCAATAAAAAATTGTTCACTGCTGCGCAATGAAAGATGAAAAATGTGGGATATAAAGCTGCTTCAATGTATAATCTGGGCAAACGTAATCACTGAGTAGAAAGCAGCTCAAGCTTTGATTAGACGCAGTGTAATGGCTGGAGAGATTATTTTTCTGTTCACTTTTAAGGCTCTGGACTGAACTAACGTATAATGTTTCCCTGATTAGACCAAGGGCTTTATGTAGTGGTTGCTGAAATTGAATTTTGTCTTGTTTGATTAGAAATTTAGTTTCCTCGGCAAAGGCAGTCCTGGTCAAAGCCACAAATAATATCCACTCTGTCTGCAACCTTGTCTTCTTTACACTTTAGACATTGTTGACCACTCCACTCTTTTCCATTGTACCTGCTCCCCAGTACATTTCAATGGCTCTGCACCTCCCTGGTTTCACTGTTTCACACTCTAGTGACTTCCCTAAAAGCTTCTCCTGTCCCTGTATGGTCATGTGTGGTGTTCCTCAGGGGTTTATTCCTTGGTGCTCTCCTTTTCAACAGGTAAATGATCTATGTCCATATGTATCACAATGATGCCCAATTCTCCCCAGGAAAGCTTGCCAGAAAAGTAAATTGATTGTTCTTTGACAACTTATGCTTCAACTGTTTATTCATTTGATTTCTTATTGTTTCAAAGTTTTTTTTTGCCATCTGATGTTAATCAGACTTGAAACAATCTTTAATATTTTCTGGTTGTATTGAATTTTCCAGTCCTTGGGTATCTTTCCTGAATTTAGCAAAATTATAGATTATTCGGTTGAAATTTGTTTCATTAGGGTCAGTATAAAATGAAACCACTCTGTGCTTGGAAAATGCAGGACAACCTAAAGTTTTTGAATACCCTCATTATTTTGTGCTAATAATCATAATCGTTGCATCTGATATAACGCCTCATCACGTCTTCCAGATGTCTCAAAACGCTTCACATAATATAATGTAAAGTGCAGTGACTGTGTGTTTTGTGGGCGAAACGCGGCAGCCAATTGCGCACAGCAGTGTCCCACAAAATATCAAAGTAATGAAGGTATTTACGAATCATTCATTCTAGATGTGGAATCCAGGACTTTTAAATGAGTGCAATAAAGAATCTAGAAAAAATATCTGGAAAGAGATTATGAGAATATGGAATGGACTGTCTCAGAGGGGTCAAAATTCCAAGTCAATTTAAGCATTCAATCGAGAGAAATCCTGGTAAATAAGGATATTAAGGAATTTGGATAAAAAAGATGGGGAAATGGAATTAGTTGTTGGGAGACTTAACTGTGGAACAGGCTGGCCTCCTATTTCCATCATGTGAAAGTCTGTTTTAACTATTGAAGTAATGGTACTGATTGCAGGATATACAAACCAATCTGATAGCCATCTCTCTCTTTTCTTCCCAGGAACCATTATCCGATGGAGACCTAATTAAGTAAGTGCTTTCCTATTGCCGTTATAAGACGCACTAATGGAAAGATATGTAGTAGTGGAGAGCAAGCGTGGAAATTAAACCAGCGGAGCAGCTATCGCAGCACAGATACATTGTGTTGAATTGTCTCCTCCTGTGTAGAGATTTCTGTGTTTTAATTTATTTGAACATAAGAAGAATATAAGAACATAAGAACTAGGAGCAGGAGTAGGCCATTCGGCCCCTCTAGCCTGCCCCGCCATTCAATAAGATCATGGCTGATCTCCACCTAGCTGCCTTATCCCCATATCCCTTAATCCCTTTATCCACAAGAAATCTATCAATCTCAGTCTTGAATATGTTCAAGGACTGAGCATTTACAGCCCTTTGGGGTAGAGAATTCCATAAATTCACTACCCTCTGAGTGAAGGAGATTTTCCTCAACTCAGTGCAAAAGGGCTTACCCCTAATTTTAAGACTGTGACCCCTGGTTATAGTTTCTCCAACCAGGGGAAAAAGTCTCCCACCATCTACTCTGTCGTGCCCTTTAATAATCTTATAGGTCTCTATAAGATCACCTCTCATTCTATATTCTAGAGAATATAGACCTAAATTGCTCAACCTATCCTCAAAGCTCATCTCCCTCTTCCCTGGTACCAACCTAGTGAATACGTTGTACCCCCTCCAAGGCGAGTACATCCTTTCTTAAATAGGGAGACGAAAACTGCACACAATACTCTAGGTGCAGCCTCGCCAGGGCCCTGTACAGTTGCAGCAAGACTTCCCTACTCTTATATTCTAACCCTTTTGTAACATACCGTTAGCCTTCCTCATTGCTTGCTGTACCTGCAAACTATCTTTTTGTAACTGGTGTACAAGGATACCCAAGTCCCTCTGAACGCTAACACTATCTAGTCTCTCCCCTTCTAAAAAATAATCTGCTCTACTGTTTTTGCCACCTAGGTGGATGACCTCACACTTCCCTATATTATACTTCATCTGTGTCTGAAAAGATATAGTACAGGATTTACCTTTGTACATGTACAATATTTATATTTAAACCTGATCGTGGTCAAAAATTAGTTCCAGATTTTCTCTGCGCTAAATTGTTTTCTTCTGATGAGTCTGTCTGCCTATGAAGTGACAGATGTTATTCTGACTGGTATGCCTTTCATAGTTCATTGTTCCCCGACCACTGCATCTCTGCTTCTCTGATGAGTCTCATACAAAATCTGCCTTTTGTTTATGTCTAAAGCATCCTGAGCCAACATCTCTGCTCATAACTTCTGTAAGGCCAATATTAGAGCTGCTAAACATAACTTTATTAAAAAGAAATGTCAACTTGTCTCAGTCGCACTCTTACCTCTGCGTCAGAAGGGTTGGGTTCAAGCTCCATGTTGGAACTTGAGCTCATACAGTTCAGTGAAAGCTGCTGAAAGTTCTGTTAAACTAAGGTTCTGTTTGTGGGTGTTAAAGATCTTGTAACACAATTGGAAAAGAGAAGAGTTTCTTCCAGTGGACAATAAATTGGACAGAAGGGACTTCAGTTTTACATCTCATTTGAAGGGCAACACCTTAGACAGTACTGAACCATGTCAGCTTAGGCTGACCCACAACCTCCCGATCAAAGGCAAGAGTGCTACTAATTGAGCTAACCTGCCACCTAAAAAAAAATCCAGGACGTGAGTGAGCAATGTGCAGCGATGGTCTTATGAAAGGTGAGCCACAAATCATTCTGAGCTCCAAACTAGTAATAGCAAATGTCCAATTTTTGATTACCGTGAAAACCAATGGTATGTTGGTTCTAGCTGGTCAAGCAACAGGAAGTTTGCCAATGACAAGTTGTGCAGTTTTAGTTGAATGAACTGCAGCATACCCCAATGCTCGCTTTGGCTCTTATCAGGCTGTGCCTAAACTCACTGGAATCAATTAAACTGGGCTCTCTTTTAGAAGAGAGTGCACACTCTATACTGAACAAACAGAAATGTTTCATGTAGATGTGGAGCCCTTAGTAATTTAGCTTAGATAATCTTGAGCAAGGTGATTGGTTTCTGTGAGAAACGATTGGTCTGACCAAAAAACACAAATGTATGCCTAAGTAAAGGGAGATTGCTGTTGGGAGACCCACACAACATTGCCCTTGATTCAGCGGATGGTATGGGGAGGAGAGTAAGGCTGGAAAAATTTATGTAGCTTGAGAGGAAAAAGACTGTGGTTGGATTTAAAAGTCAGAACAAGGATTTTAAAATTGATTTGTTGAGGTTTTGAGAACCATTGAGGCACCATTCAGGAAAGAATTCCTTGGTAACAAGCACGTGGTCTGAGCTGCAGTTGATAATTGGTAGTGAGGTTATGTTAACTCACTGTTACTTTAATTTTTCATTAAAGTAATAGTGAGTTAACACAACCTCACTTTTCTCCTATATCTTATTGCAGTTCTTTATAAACTCTTTAATAGGATTGCTGCCTTGGGCCCATCTTTCAATTTGGTGATGCTTGTAAACTACTCTTTTCAGTCTATACTGGTGCTATCTTTCAGATGTTGCTCTTCATTTCCCTATAATACGAAAGGCTTTATTGTGCTTGAATCTCTTTTTGCTAATTTGAAACTGGATCTTAAACAAGGGCATATTCCCGAGTGCTTTCCAGTGCCCAGCATCGGAAACTAGCCATACTGGCCTGCATGTGGATCTGCGTTCCACAGGTGATTGTGCCACCTGATCCCTGTTAATTTGATATGAGTAGCAATTCATTTGCTACTCAAGAGAAACTGAATTATTAAGGGTGTTCTTTTGTATATAGGGCTGACTTCATCAGATCCTTTTTCTTGAACTCCATCTGGCAGGCTGAGTTTTTCTGAAACACCAGATAGCTCTTGGTTATAAAGTGTGTAATACAAGACCTCAGCATGAAATATTCAGATGCTGAGCCCGCTCTGCTTTCATAGCAAGAGGCAGACAACATCATTTCTTAATGTTGGTGTTGGATATCTGCAAATAATAGGATTATATAAATGTCAAATTTAAAGAACCTGAGCTTAAAGTTGAAACGTCAGTAAGGACCAGTGACCTGGGCTTCATGATGGGTCCTGTTGGCTCTAAGCACTAAATTGCACTAGGGCTCTTTTTTTTTATGGGGCAATTACTGTATAACAAAACTAATCAAAGTAAAATTTAGCAACACAAGAGCAGAAGTAGGCCAAGTTGGCCACCGGCATAGACCAGTTGTGCTGAATGTCCTGTTTCTGTGCTGTATGTTCTAATGTATTTCTAATTAGCCTGTTAATCCAATTTTGCCATTAAAACTATGGCAACCCTTCGTTCCATTTCTCCACTGTTTCTCTGTATTCTTTAATATAGTTAGTTACCGATTATCTATCTTCTTCTTGTATTCATCAATTGATTCCCTATGAAATGGATAACTAGAGTTGGTCCCTCTTCATTGTTCTACCGGGGGGAGGGAGGTAGCATCACTAGAAGACTGGTCTGCGTACATCTAGAGAACTTACCACTGCTGCCAACAATGCAAGCGTTGGAGTCAGATGTGAGTGTATATCTTTTCTGTCCATGCGCAGACTCTGGTAGGCTCTTATATACAGTCTGCCTATAAAGCCTGTTTTATATGTTTTGACATTCTGAACATCTGATCAGGGCTCCCTCTGCCTCCTTGTCCTCCTCGACTTCTCTGCCGCCTTCGACACTGTCGAGCATTCCATCCTCATACACCACTTCTCCACTTTTCTCAATCTTCACGGATCTGCCCTTGCCTGGTTCGATTCCTATCTCTCACCGTCTCCACTTTGTTGCTTCTAATGGTTTCTCCTCCAGCCCCCGCACTGTCGACTGGCGTCCCCCAGGGCTCTGTCCTTGGTCCTCTCCTCTTTAATATCTACAAGCTCCCCCTTGGCGACATCATCTGCAGACATGTATGCGGATGACACCCAACTCTTATCTTTCTGCCTCCACCCTCAACTCCAGGACCACTGCTGTCCTGACAGACTGCCTGTTGGACATCAAGTCCTGGATGAGAGCAAATTTCCTACAGTTGAATGTGAACAAGACTGAGGCCCTCCTGATTGGCTCACACCAGTGCCTCAGGCTCTGGCAACATCAACCTCCATGGTTGCACACTTCAACTCACCAAACCAGTCAGGAACCTCGGTGTCTTGTTCGACCCTCAATTGTCTTCCCCACATCCAAGCTAAGACCCGCTCTGCCTTTCCTCACCTCCGTAACATCGCCCGACTCTGCCACTACCTCAGGCCGCTGAAACTTTTGTTCATGCTTCGACTATGTAAACGCCCTCCTTGTCGGCCTTCCCAACTCCTCCCTCCACAGGCTGCAGATAATCTAGAACTCTGCAGCCCGTGTCCTCTCCCGCACCAAACTCCGTGCCCCCATCTCCCCCGACTCCATTGGCTCCCTATCCTTCAGAGGATCCAATTCAAGTTCCTGGTCCTCACCTACAAAGCCCTCAATGGCCTCGCCCTACCCTACCTCTGTGACCTCCTAACTCCCTACCAATCCGCCCGTTCCCTCGGCTCAGCTAGCTCCAGCCTGCTCCACGTCCCACCATTGATGGGAGAAACTTCAGCCACTCGGCCCCCAATCTCTGGAATTCCATCCCCCAGTCACTCCGCCTCACCCCCTCCTTAGCCTCCTTCAAGTTCTGCCTCAAAACCCTCCTCTTCGACCATAACATCGGTCACCCCCCTTCCCCTCCCCTCCCTTCTGCCCCCTGACCCCAGTTCGGTTCTGAAATGCTGTACACTGTGCGCCTTGGGACGTCCTCCCGACGTGAAAGGCGCTATACAAATGTAATCTTGTTGTTGTTGTTTTCTTTTTTGTGAAAAACATTCATTTCTCCTCAAACATTCTGTCAAGCTTGAATTGATTCCAAGAGTTAACAGATTTCTTGTGAGGCTTTTCTAACAAATCATCTTACACACTCTTCCTCTCTCATACAAAAACACAAGTTTGGCATCACCTAATCACTTGACCATTTACTAGCTCTCTTTATACTATCCATTCTGTACTGAGATTTTGCTGTGTTAGAGCATTTACAGAAGTTAAATAATCATTGCAATTTTTAACCAAAATGAGACAGATAGGGTTCAGAATATATGTACATTTGCAGCAATCTCCAGTAAATTGCCAAACTGCTGATGGATCATGTGTATTCTGTTGATGTTGATGCAACTATCTAATTTGTTAACTGGCTGGAGGAGGTGCTTAGCTACAGATCTATTATATCACCAATTATCTGGCAAAGCTGACGTAAAATTTTTATTTTGTTTTTTGACTTTGAGCTGCAGACTCTTAAGATATTATTAATAATAATCTTTGCATTTTGTATAGAGTCTTATCACGTCATTGAGATGTCCCAAAGTGCTTCACAGAATATACAATACAAAATTACATTTGTATAGCGCCGTTCACGTCGGGAGGCAGTCCCAAGGCGCTGGACAGTCAGGGATTCGGACCCGAGCTGGGGGTCAGGATTGGGGAGGGTTGAACACAGGGAGGGTAGGAAAATGGCTGAAGGCTCGGTCGAAGAGGAGGATTTTGAGACATACCTTGAAGAAGGCAAGGTAGGGAGAGAGGCGAAGGGAATGTGGGATGGAGTTCCATAGGGTGGGTGCGGAAAGGCTGAAGGTGGGGTGGGACGTGGAGCAGGCCGGAGCCTGCTGAGCGTCGGAAGTGGACAGATTGATATGGGGTCAGCAGTTCACAGAGGTAGGGAGAAACAAGCCTGTGGAGGATGAGGATTTTGAATTCTGAATATACTATTAAGTGAATTGACTATATTTTGTGGGCAATACACGGCAGCCAATTGTGCACAGCAGTGTCCCACAAACAGTCGTGGATTAAGTGACCAAATTACTATTATTTATTTATTTTGGAGGGATTATTACCCCCAGAAAGCGATCCACCATAATAACAACAACAACAAATAGAGAACCCTTCACGTCGGGAGGATGTCATAAGGCGCTGGACAGTCAGGAGTCAGGACCCAAGCATGGGGGAGGGGTGAGGTAGGGGTGAGGGAAGTCAGAGAGTTGGGAAGGCAACTGAAGACACGATCGAAGAGGAGGGTCTTGAGACTGGCCTTGAAGGTGGCAGGAGAAGAAGCGAGGCGAAGGGACTGTGGGATGGAGTTCCAGAGTGTGGGGGAGGAGAGGTTGAAAGCCGGGTCACCGATTTTTAGAGCGGGTCGGGCGGGCGACATGGAGCAGACCGGAGCACACTTAACGGAGAGAGCGGGCAGGTTGGTAGGGAGTCAGCAGGTCAGAGCGGTAGGAGGGGCAAGGCCATGGATGGCCTTGGAAGTGAGGACGAGGATCTTGAATTCGATCCTCTGAGGGATGGGGAGCCAGTGGATGGGCGAGGGTGGGAGTGATGGGGTCACGGAGCCTGGTGCGTGAGAGTACACGATCTGCAGAGTTTTGGATGATCTGCAGCTTATGAAGGGATGAGTTGGGAAGGCCGATGAAGGGGGAGTTTCCATAATCGAGCCATGATGTGACAAATTCATGGATGAGGGTTTCGGCAGCATGAGGGGTGAGGCAGTGGCGGAGTTTGGCAATGTTGCGGAGGTAGTGGTAGGCAGTGCCGGTCATGGCGCAGATGTGGGGGAGAAAGGACAGTTCAGGGTCAAACAAGACACCCAGACTGGCTTAGTGAGGTTGAGTGTGCAGCCGTGGAGGCTGATGTTGCCAGCGCTTGAGGTCCAGAGGCGGTGGCGTGAGTCAATCAGGAGGACCTCAGTCTTGCTGACGTTGAGTTGGAGAAAGTTGTCCCTCATCCAGGACTTGATGTCGGACAGGCAGTCGGTCAGGACGCCAGCAGTCCTGGAGTTGAGGGTGGAGGCAGAGAGGTAGAGTTGGGTGTCATCCGCATACATGTGGAAATTTACTCCATGTCTGCGGATGATGTCACCAAGGGAGAGCATGTAGAGGGTGAAGAGGAGGGACCGAGGCTTGAGGAACGTTGCACGAGACGGTGCGGGGGCTGGAGGAGAAGCTGTTTGCAGAGAAATTGACTAACCAATTGACTAACAACTGGGTTCCTGCTTACTGCTAGGTAAACCGAGGCATGTGGAGTAAGGAAACTTGCCTAATGTTTTACCCCGCCCTGGAATGGAACCCAGGTCTTCTCGTTTGCGAGGCGAGTGCTCTAACCAATATGCTATAGGACTCTTACCTTCCAAATTCTACCTTACCTCTTGGCATTCATGGTCATATGCGTATGAGAACTGAGGTCCCAGGATCAAAACCTGGCTAATTTCTGTCGGCCCAGGAATATCAAGACCGATTGGAACAGGATACCTGGCTAAGGTCAGATAACCCAGTGCAAGCCAGAATCAATTCCAGGACTCTCGTCTATTTGGCTCAGTTTGATGCTTGATGCATTATTAAAAAAAATTATAAATCACTCCTGCTAGTGTAAACGTTAACTTGATATTTAAAAGACATAACTAATGGTCAGTGAACTAACCATGTTAGTGGCATATAGATCAACTGCATTATCACTTCATTTTAATGCAGTAAGTAACATCACAGTAAGTAACTGATGTGCGAAGAAATATTTTTGGGTCACACTTCGAACGATATTTCCCCGCCTCTCTCCAAAATGAACCTTCTGCAAATCTGTGTTGATTGGTAGTCTCTGATCTCTTGCTATTTTGTTCAGGATTGCCCTCAAATTATTTCCTTTTACTTTTAAAAAGACAATTACAGCAGCAGAATGAAGAGCTGCGTCGACATTTGAACCACACCACCCACAAGCTGGAGATGATGGAGTCCGACTTCGAATCCAGCCGACATTACCTCGAGACGGAGCTGAACCACGCCCGGGAAGAGATGGACAAGTTGAGGGACAAGTTCCGCAGGTCAGCAAAACTGCGCTGCCCCAATATGTAGCAGTTCTTTAGTTTGTATTAGCAATTTCAGCTGGTTGCCTTTTTTCTGTCAGTTTCTATCCAAAGCTTTGAAGTGTGGAACAAGTGTCTATATATAATAATAATGGTTGCATTTGATTAAAGCACTTTTCACGTCTTCTAGACGTCTCAAAGTGCTTCACAGAATATGCTGTAAAGTGAATTGACCGTATATTTGTGGGCGAAACTCGGCAGTCAACTGCGCACAGCAGTGTCCCACAAACAGTCGTGGATTGAAAATGACAATTTTTTTTTGGTTTTGGAGGGATTATTGTTAGGCGTGTGGAGTAAGGAAACTTGCCCAAGGTTTCGCCCTGCCTGGAATTGAACCCAGGTGTCTTGCTTGCAAGGCGAGTGCTCTAACCACTGAGCTACAGGCCTCTGTGCTTGAGAGATGAAGGCCACCTCGCCGCCACGTTGGTTAGGCCAGGGGGTGTGGTGAAAGGTGTAGCCAGGAGCGGAGGCTTCCTTTAGAGGGAAGTCCACGACCTCTTCGCACTTAGCTTTAGCTGTGATGATTGAGGGTGCTTGAGGTGGCGCATGGATGAGGTGGCGGGCGGTGGAGAAAAGGATTTTGGAGCTATTGTTGGCCACCAGTATGATGTTTGAGTAGTTCACAATTCTTGCTTGCGATAGGGAGCAGCGGTAGGTGTGAAGATGCTCGAGCCACAGCTGGTGGTGAACCGTGAGGCTGGTTTTCTGCCACCTGCGCTCAAGCAACCAGGTTTGGGATTTCAGGGAGCGGAGATGGCTGTTATACCAGGGGGAGCGGGTGGGTTTGGAGCCGGTCCTGGATATCTGGATGGGAGAGGGAGTTGAAGGTGGAGAAGAGGCGATCATGGAGCAGCTGGACAGCTGTTTCAAGGTCGCTGCAGGTTATTATTACTATATTAGATCCAGATTGGCTCCAATGTGGTAGAGACGGGAGTCACAATGCTGGCTACTGCATTCAATGAAGATGATTATAACCAGTACTTAACTAGGCTGCAGCTTGGCTCCTTTAGCAGCATTCTTGACTTTGTGTCAGAAGGTTGTAGATTCAAGCCCCATTTTTGGATTTCAAAAATCTACACAACAATTTCTAAATTTCTAGACTACAGCAATGATGAACGTAACGCCCTACAAACAAGACATTAAACTGAGGTCTCATCAACCTGTTCAGGTGGACATTTAAGATCCCATGATCATATTAAAAAAAGTGAAATGGGGTTTTCCCAGTGATTCACTTTATTGTTGTTTGGGGGACTTTGCTGTGTGTAAATTCAATGTTATGTTTGCCTACAAATAGCCAACAATTACCTGGGAAGTTTTGAGAAGTTATGAACATTGCAATAATGATTATTATTTATATTTGTAACTGAGTGTTGAATATGCATGGGAGTCCATTACCAGAGGTTACAAATATAAAATAGCAACCAAGGGATCTAAGAGAGCATTTTAAAAGGAACTGCTTCCACAGAGGATAGTGAGAATGTGGGGCTCACTGCCGGAAGCGGTGGTTAAAGCAGATAGTATGGATGCATTTAAGATGATGCTAGATATACACATGAGGAAAGGGGGAATAGAAGAGTATGAGCAGGAGTACAATGTAATACAAATTTACTACAACAACAACAACTTGCATTGATATAGTGCCCCTCGTGCAGGGTAACATCCCAGAGCGCTTGACAGTGGTGGAGCACCGAGCTGGGAGGTGTGCGGAGGTGATCTTAGACTCAATTGAAGAGGAAGATCTTCAGGCATGACCTGAAGATGGGGAAGGATGGGGCAAGGCGGAGGGATTGAGGAAAAGTGTTCCAGAGTTTCGGGGCGTAGTGGCTGTAACTGTGGTCGCGAATGATGGAATGGAGGACATGAGGGATGTGCAGAAGGCCGGAGCCAGTCAAGCGGAGGCAGTGGATTGGGGCTAAGAATGTCAGAGAGGTAGGGAGGTGCCAGGGCATGAAGGGATTTGAAAATGAGTGTGAGGATCTTGAAATCGATCCGTTCAGCGATAGAGAGCCAGTGGAGCCTGGCTAGAACTGGTGTGATGGGAGTACGGAATTTAGTGCAGGCGAACATGCGGGCGGCGTAGTTTTCGATCCGCTGGATCTTGTGCATGGTGGAGCTAGGGAGACCGGTGAAGAGGGCATTTGAAAAGTCGTCGGAAGGTGACAAACGCATGGACAAGTGTTTCAGCTGAGTCTGAGGTGAGGTCCAGTGGGAGGCGGATAATGTGGTGGAGGTGGAGGAAGGCGATCCTGGTCAGGGACCGGATGTGGGGAAGGAAGGACAGCTGTGGGTTGAATATGATGCCTAGGTTGTGCACTGTTTCGATAAGTCTGAGGGATAGGCCAGGGAGATTGAAGAGGTCAGAGCCGCAGGATAGAAGACATTGACAGGAGCCAATGAATATGTTTTCCGTCATGTCAACATTTAATTGTAGGAAGTTTTCGCTCCTCCGGGCCCTGATGTCCGCCAGACAAGATGGGAGAACATCAGTGGACATGGAGGGGCAGCTGGAGGAGAAGTAGATTTGGGTGTCATCCTTATACATGTGGAAGTTTATCCCATGTCTGTGATGGACAGATCGGGGATGTCAAGGCCGTGAGTGATAACAAGGTTGAGGAGGTTGCCACAGTTGTGAGTTAGGGAGTTTATGTGGAGGGTGAGGTTTAATGAGGAGAAGAGGGCAGTGAAGTCAGAAGAGTTGGGGCAAGGGGAGTTAGGTGAAGGTTGAAATTACCCATTATAATTAAGTGTTCAGTGCAGAGGCAGAGAGGGCTGAGAGGAGGCAGGAAATGTCAGGGATGAAGGAACCAGACCGTTTGGGAGGAGGATAAATAATGAGGATTTTGAAGGAGAGAGAGGGATGGTACAGGAGAGTGGGGCAGTTGGGGAGGCTGCTTTGGGATAACCATTGCTGAGAGCCACAATGGGCCTGGTGAAGGATGCCCAAGCTGGAGCAGAGGGAGGCAGTGATGGGGTCCAGGAGAGAGAGAAGGCGAGGAGGGTGGTGGGAGAGGCACTGTTTGGGAGTAGTGGAGTGCGGGGAGTAGAAGGGGGAACATTTTCGGGGTGGGGCAGGGTGGCATCCAAAACACGCAGGCGGAGACCGGGAGCAAGGCATTTAGCGGGGAATTGGCAACTGGCAGGCATGGCGGTTGAGAGAGGCTAGAGGAGACAGTGCAGTGGGGAGAGAGGGAGGAGGGCACTCATAGTGTTATTTACCAGGTTGCCTGACCTGGTAATAGATAGAAGAAACAAACAGGAGTACTTTGTCTGGAGGGTTTGAAAAATGACAACTAGAAGTTACTTCACAAAGGCAGTTTTGGCCATTGGTCCAGGCGGGAGATTTTGAAATGGCATCTCCACACCTGGAACCTCCTTGCCTGGAACACCAACCCTTAGGCCCCCGCGGCGGTTATTGCCTCATCTGCGGCTGAGGCCCCTCGTTGGTCGATAATCGTTGGCTCACCTGTGGCCTCTGCTCTGGCCGCTCCAACCTTGCCGCTCACATCTGACCTCGCGGTAAACTGAGTTCCATCTGCCTATTCAGGTGGACGTTAAATATCCCATGGCACTGTTTGAAAAGAGAAGGGAGATTCTTCCGGTGTCCCGGCCAACAATCCCTAAATAAAATTGGTCACTCATTTTATAGCTGTTTGTGCAGCATTGCTGTGTGCAAATTGGCTACCGCATTTGCCTACAAATATACACCATCATTGCACTTCATAATAAAATCTCATGAAGCATTTTGAGATATCTCAACAACATAAGGCACTGTATGAAATGCAAGGATTGTTATTTTGTAGACGGGTCCTCAGTTTAACCTTCTCATCTGAAGGTTGGCACTTTTGACATCCTATTCTTCCCAGCCCTCTGCCTCTTTTATTAGCCCGGATTTTGAGCTAATTTCCCCATGTGACTTGATAATCTGGCATTTAATATCCCCAGGTACATGTTGGTGAAGGCCTTGCCCAGCTGTGTAGTTGATTCACTAACATTCCCAGGGTTTTCAATTTTCTTGTGTATAATGTACCATAACTTTTAATAGTGTCTCCTCTGGCCCTTGTACAGTCACCTGTGAAGTACCTCACGGCTCCATTGTCTGTCCTTTTTTTCCCCTTATGTATATTCTCCTTAAAGATATTATCCACAAACACAGGATTAGCTTCCACGTATACACGCTGACTACTCTCATATCAAGTTCCACATGTACATCACCCTTACCAGGCTCCACTTGCATCCTGTCTTCCCATGGATCAATTTCAAGGTCCTCACCCTCATTTATAAATCCTTTCATGTACTAAGCACATCCTTTTGTCACTTCCATTTCCTCATCCGTTTAGCAAACTCAGTTCTCCATCCCCTCTAAGTGGCCAAGCCTTCAGCGGCTATGTCCCAACCCCTGGAGCTCCCTGCTTCTACCCCCTGCCTTGTTTGTCTTCCCTGCCCACCCCCTCATCCCCCACCTCAACCCTTCCTCCCATATTTTGCATCCAAATCCGTCTCTGTGAAGCACTCCGAGACATTACCCTACATGAAAGGCACTATATAAAGCAAGTTTTTTTATATACTGACTTATCAATATTAATGCACATTGTGTTTGAATTGCTTGCAGGTTGTACTCATTCTGTTCTTGGCCCAGTAACTTTTAGCGATAGTTGTATTCACCATTTTTTTTCTCTCTTCCTCCCCATGTAGATTACAGAACAGTTACACTGCGTCACAACGAACAAATCAGGACCTAGAGGATAAACTTCACGCTCTGGTGAGTGACCACCTTATTGAATGGTGATCATTGCATTTCATTCTTACAGGGTGCAGGTTATTATAATGTACAGTCCATTAAAGTACCAAATGAGCTTATCCTTCAACACTTTCACCATCCATACTCTGCTTTGTCTTTAGATATCATAGCATTCACTATAAACTGTTAAGAATTTTATCTTGTGAATAAAATGAGTTCTTCAGTGATAAATACCACTCCAGTTCTTACACGGTTACCTGGATTCTCTTTTCTTTGATAGCATTTTGTCCAGTAGTGATCGACTGGTATTAATGTCCATCTCATCCCAATGAAATCAATAGCGGGTAGACAAGGGGGAGCTGACAAGCTAACCAATTTAGCAGTTGAGTTTATGTAAGTCTTTCAATTATGTAAGTCATTGAATCTTCTACAGATATGATCTTAATATTGAGGGAAATCAGATCATATGCCCACATTCACTACGTATATTTATATATGTATAATATAATTCTGTAAATAAATTTGGACCTCTGGAATCTGAGGCCCAAATTCCACTTTATCCTAGCAGATCAAACCATTTTATCTTAAAAATTAAGATGACGAGAGATTGTCAAATTCTTAAATTCAGTCTTAATTTGAAAGCGGGTGTTCTGCATTTTTGGCTTCCAATTAAATAGTTTACAGTCTAGGTGGAAATTCAGACCTCTAGAGCTTCATCACTCAGAGACCTTCGCCGTTCTCCTATATTGGTTACATCAGATGATTATTGCAAATGTATATCTGATCCCAGGATGTACTTGTACATTCATTATAGTATATCCAAAACGTACCAATCTTTGTTCGGTACTATCCATTTTACTAGTCATAACCAGCGCAGAAAAAAACCCATTGTGAGGGTATCAGTGGACATCCACAGTATTTACTATTTGAAACTGATATCAAAACCTTCCCTGGGTATCCAGGTGATTGTTGCAGCTAATTTAACACCAGATACTTTAGGTCAGTATGTAAGTGGCAACTACAGTTCTTTTCCTCCCCTTACAATCCACCTACTTACCTCCTACCAGTGGAACATATCTGTTAACAGGGTTGTCTGCGTGGAGCAGAAATGCAATTTCACAGTGGGTATATATGTACCAGTTGATCACTAGTGTGTGTTTGCACAGTAACTTTCACTTTTCATTGCCGTACCACTCATGTGTGTTCTCTTTTTCTCCTCATGCTGCCATCGTTGCCGCTGGTGTGTCAGGCCTCTATCAGCCAAAGCTGGATCTATGCAGTTGCGTCTTTCTTTTCTGCATTTCTGTGCTTTAGAACTATTAATAGAGATATCAGGAAAAGTCGAGCATTTCTGACTTAAAAGCATAACAATTAGTGATGCTATTCAATGATTAATAAATCTCCAACTTTACACTTGCCACTGCTAACCCTCTAGTTACTGGAATTCCCGATTGCAAAAAATACACACAATTGTTGAAGCTTAAATCAGACTGAGTTTCTATCCAGCCACCTCTGAATCATACACTGCCCCGATTTAATCTAAATACTGTTAGAATTGTGAGCAGTGAAATCTCTAACATGAAGAATTCATTATATTTCCAGGAAATCTCCTGTTCAGTGACATTGTACGATTAAGAGGGGATTTCCTTATTAAATAAGTATAAACAATGTCCTGACATCTCTAGCTATCTGTTCCATATCTTTCTGTAGATCCTAGTCATTTAGTGGGATAAAATGGATGGCTCATTCCATTGGGCGGTTTTGATGTATGTTCAGATTGCATGTGTCTGTAAAGCAATTGAGTGAAACTGTTGGGTTAGGTTAGAGAATTAACTACCAGGTCTGTGATTCAGTACCACTTGGCTAACTGTGTATTTGTGCAATCTGATGGTTCTGTTTCTTGTTCTTTAACCGATTGGCTGTTGAGAATGAATAAGTGTTGAGTTTGACATTTTTTGTGCTGTTCGTTCAATCTGGCAGGACAAGGAATAAGACTAAAGTACAGTAATTTCACTGAACATCACCCAATGGGTATCATTAACTTGATCATCAGTTCCCGCTGCCTTGGCTCAATTGAAGACTACTCCCATCCTCGCCCGGCTCCACTGGCTCCCCATCACTCAGAGGATACAGTTCAAGATCCTGGTCCTCACCTTCAAAGCCCTCCATGGCCTTGCTCCTACCTACCTCTGTGACCACCTAACCCCCTACCAACCTTCCCCTCCCTCCTCTCAGCGGGCTCCGACCTGAATCACGTCCCCCGTCTTGCCCACACCACCATTGGCGGTCAGGCCTTCAGCCTCGCTGCTCCTACCCTTTGGAACTCCTTCCCACGGTCTCTCTGCCTTGCCCCCTTCCTTGCCTCCTTCAAGTCAGTCTCAAGACCCTCTTCCTCAATGTGCCTTCAGTAACCCTCCTACCCTCCCCGCCCTCCACCTCTCCTGATCCGAACCACCAGGTTGCGGATCCCTGACTGTCCAGTGCCTTGGGACATCCTCCTGACATGCAAGGCCCAATACAAATGTAATTTGTTGTTGTACTCCAAAGCAGTAAAAGGGCAAACATTGGTGCCTTAACTCCCACCTGTTGGAGGATATCATCCTCCCATTGACCTGGCATTGAATACTTGCCAAGTCACAGAGAGAAATCGTAGAAGGTTTACAAAACATTCAGCCCATTATGTCTGCTGGTGCTAGCTCCCCTCTGCAGCTCTCTGCTCGGTCCCCACAAGTGAAAAGTCTATGCTGAGTGACCACTGGGCAACAAATGTACACAGCATAGGGTATGTCTTAAGTTTTATAGCAGTCATTTGCCTCTGATCCTGTTTTTTATAATCTATGGAAAGGAGACAAATAAGCTGAAATGCTTCCCACCCAATTCTAATAGTTAACTCTCAGGAATTCACCATGGATGTCCCATTACACTGGGGCTTCAATAAGAGATGGATTACTGTTCGTGCATCAGGAAGTACCTTGTGGATTTATTTAGCGGCACAGTACATGTAAAGCAGTTCTTGGGTGCAGCTCTATCCAACGTTGATTGGAAAATTCATGGTACAGTTATACAGGACTTCATATTGGAATTAACGAGACTGTTCATGCATCTGTCAAACTTATCTCAATTGATCTAAGACGGGTTCAGTTTGCTAGCAGAGAGCTTTCAGGTACTTGGCGTATGCTTTCATTCTATTCCCAATCTTTATTCTCTGTAAATCCCCCCCCCCCCCCCTCCACCCTCCTCACGTAAACCCTCTCTCCCACTGTAGCTTCTCATCTCAATACCATTTTCCTCTAGCTAAGACCAGTGGCTAACTTTGGATACTCAATGTTTCTTTGGGAGAATGAGGACACCAAAGAACAGGAGCTGAAATCTCAATCTGCACAGGGCGTAATGCCATTGTGCTGTGAGATACTTGATAATAAAAGGGGTAGGAGGGTATCAGAGCACTGGCTATGAGACTGCAATTAAATTGTTACTAAATTTGTAACTTTTCAGTAATCTTCTTACCCATTATTTTCAAATGCGCCAATAACCTTCACAAATGTGTTCCTCCAGTTTTCCTGCATTTTCATTTCTTGGCTAGATTAACATTGCTTCACATCAAAAACATAGCTTCCATATTCTGTAGATCTGAAAAATGGAACAGATTAAAGTATCTGAAAATGTAAAGGCTTCAAAAAATTATTAGAATCAGAACATTCGACTTAAAGTTACCCAAGTGTAAGCTGGAAAGGTTCAACTGAAATATTGCAAATTGGTTTGCAAGACATAGTGGATACGCCAGCCTGCTTTGGTGAGCATGAAGTATGATACTAGATTACAGGACAGTGTTTTTTGCATTGAGTATGTGAGGGGAAATGTGAGGATGAGTTGGGGGAGGAGGAAAGACAGTTATCTATTTCACTTATTATGAGGCTATCATAGCACTTGATCAAAAAAAGTACTGCATGCTCCAATAGGGCAGTGAATTGATAGCATTCCTGAGTCTTCAAGATGCTGTTAACATCTCAAGACTGAACCCAAAATGTCTGAGGAAATTAGCTAACAGCTAATGGTGCCTGGCTTCGGGCTGTTTCCTGCATCTCACAAGTGCCTTTTGTGCCGATCAGTAATACCTCTAATCAGTACTGATCTGCACCCTTGTGAGATGCAGCACTGACAGACAGGTAGGAACAACTGTTATGAATCCACCCCTCCAACTTTTGTACAATGTGATCCAGTGAGACACTAAACAGCTTCCCAGCTGCTGGCTGGGAAGGTAAAGTGACGCACTGTTTCCACAGCTCTTGACTGGGAACAATAGGGTGAGTGTGACTGATGAAGCAATTAGTGCAGTAAAATAGCAAAAGGTTAGTTACAAAACGTGTTACTTGGGGGTAGCTTGGAGACAACGCAGTAGATGCACTTGAACTCCAAATGGTGCAGCAGTGCCATTATTTTCCTCCGTCATTGCATAAACCAAGAACCCATTCTTCCTAACCCCACTCTTCTTTTTCTCCCTCCTTACCTCCCCAAATAAAGCATATTTGCTGCTTTGATTCTTTACAGTCTCTGTTCCCAGTGCTGTTCTGCATCATACTATACTTGGTTAACAAAGGTCTTGCTGGGTACTGTGTTGTTTTTACTGTGAGTCTATTTGAAACTTTTCTTTTATTGCACTTCTGCTCCTCTAGTGGAATGACTGTGCTGTGGGTGCAAAGTTTCTCTACTTGTTTTCAGTTCCTGTCTGATCTGTTATAAGGCTCTGATGCAGTACAGAACTCTCGATATGTTATCCTAGCATGCACCCTCTCCTCACTTGAGTCTGAGAAGAGCACCGTAACTGCATTTCAGTAACCATTGTCCCACACATTGCAACCTTGTGTCTTGCCTGAGCAAGATTGTCCAATAATGCTACACTTCCCTTTGTTGTCCATTCCTTTCCCTTATTATAAGGCACCTGGATGTTCAGTGCAAATGTGTAACCTCTCTTTTCATTTTTTTAGATTAAAAAAGCCGAGATGGATAAGAAGACTCTGGATTGGGAGATTGTGGAACTGACAAACAAGTTGCTGGATGCAAAAACAACCATTGACAGACTGGAAGAATTGAACGTAAGTAAGACAGCTCATGCAGAGAGACCGCAATTTCTGAGAAGAAAGGGTCATGTGTTCAGCGATTTAAGGAGCTCTAACATCCATAGTTAAATCCAGTACGTTACTTGATCTTTCAATGCCGTAGCTTTTTCCCTATCTCTGGATGCTTTTTTTTGTGTGTGTGTTGGTTGAATATCAGCATTAAAGTATCACATTGATTTGAAAATCGATAGGCTCAGTGGAATATATAGTTATGTCTGATCATGAAATCCCAATTTATTGATGGGTCTTGAGCAGGCCATATCCATTTTGTATGACAAGGTGCCAATCTGTCAAATGTTTAATATTGTTGGAGGAATGAATTTTCTTTTCATTTTTCACAGCTCACTTACAGTGAGTGATACAGCCAAAAAGATTTACTCTATATCCGAGAATTATCAAGCAGAGAATGTGTGAATCCATTTTCTTTATAGTACCCCTTTAAATCACTAAACAAAGTGAGATAAATCATAGTTCTCTCAGTTCCCCGTGTGGCTTGGCAGGGTAGATGTTGGATTCTATTCTATGATTTTTTTCATGAATCTTTATAATAATTTTCCATAACTTCTAAATGACTAATTTTTATGTATCAGGTCTCAGGTTCACTCAGTTGGTACTGCTCTAACCTCTAGATTATACGGTTATGGGTACAAGCCTCAAATAAGGACTTTGAGCTCAGTCCAGCCTGGCACTTAAGTGCAGTACTAGGGGAGCATTGCATTTTTGGAGGTGCTGTACTTTGGATGAGATGTTAAGCTGAGGCCTCATCTGTGTGTCCAGGTAGAAGTTAAAGATCTTATGACACTATTGAAACATAAGGGATCTCAGTGGCCTGGCCAACGAGCCTTCAGATACATTTGTCATTCACTTGTAGCTATTTGTGGGTCTTGCCATGCGTCAATGTTCGTCTGCAAATACATAGTCGTCACACTTGACAGTAATTACCGTGAAGTAGTAAATGTTTCAATATAAGTGCTATATCAAATGTTAAAGATTATTTTTTCAGTTGTCTCTAAGTGGCATGACCACATGCAAACATGCTGGAGTTTCCTTTTGTTGGGGGTGGGCTAATGTTACCAGTGCCTTTGGATGTACTGTAGAATTGTGACAATTGTGCCTGCTGCCAATTGCATGATGTATTTGTGGAATAGGGTTTGCAAGCAGTGTCTGGCGAGGCTTCAGCAGGTTTCAGTTTAACACCAGTATTGGTATACATTTTAGGAGGAAGAAAGGGGAGGACTATGGAGACAAACTATATACTAAATCGTAAAATTTTAAAAGGACAGCTGTAGAGAGACAAGAGTGGAGGATTAGCATTCATGAACGCTTAAAATTTGGAAGCGAGATGAATAAAGGTACGAAGAAAGCTAATCCAACCCTGAGTTTTATAAATAGGATGAGTGTGTTGCCTCTGTTTACCCAGCAGTAAGTAGGAACCCAGTTGTTAATCGATTGGCGGATCGCTTTCTGGGGGGGTAATAATTATTTTATTAAAAAAATGTTCACTCAATATACAACTGTTTACGGGACACAACTATGCCCAATTGGCTGCAGTGTTTCGCCCACAAAATGCACAGTCAATTAACTCAACAGGATATTCTGTGAAGCACTTTGAGACGTCTCAATGATGTGATAAGGCGCTATATCAAATGCAAGAATTATTATTATTAGCAAGGTAGCAAAGGGGGAGAAATTCAACATTTGATATTTAGCTACATCACCTTAGAGGAGGTGATCTGCACTGAGTGGGAACCTGTTTGTAGGAAGAGTCAGTTTACAGCTTTTAATTCCTATTATTTTCTTCTCAGGAGCGTTATCGACAGGACTGTAACCTTGCTGTTCAGCTACTGAAGTGCAACAAATCTCACTTCAGGAACCACAAGTTCTCAGATGTAAGTACCCTGGCCTTAAGGAAGCATATCGGAACAGAAGTTTTTCACTTTGTCTGGTTTCTGAATAATCAACATACATTTTTTGCAGCTACAGAGTATCATCTTGTCTCAGTCAGTAGCACTCGCACCTCTAGGTCAAATGTTTGTGAGTTCAGACCCCAATCTGGACGTTCGAGCTCACAGTCCAGGTTGACACCATAGTCAGGTACCGTGTCATCCTGGCTACATTGTCAGAGATGTAGATTAATGGTAAAGATCTCTTGACACTATTGGAAAAGAGAAGGAAGTTTCTCCTGGAGTCCTACCCCACAGTCCTCCAACTCATGTCAATGGCTGTGTGTGGGAGCTTGCTTTGTGCATATTGTCTCCTGCATTCAATTACAAATGCACAGTCACTACATTTGACTGCAGTTACATGTGAGGTATTGTTCTTGGAGACAGTTCAGCATTATAGGCATTGTATCATTGTCAAATGCAAGGATTATTCTTACATTCTTCTTTAATTTCAATTGAAATCTTCAAAGTCTTTGACTTTGCAAGAACTAAGCACACTTTACTTTTGACTTTCATCATCTCTTCACTGGGCTCTGCGATATCTCGTGGAACTGAAATGCAATTCTCGGGAGAGGATAGTCTGCCTGATCTTCAGTCGAAGCTATACTCACTGACCAATTTGGAATTTGCACCTTACTTTGGTGGTTTCCCCCGCAGCTTGGCATCGTGCTAAGCCACTGTCAAGCACTCAGGGATGCTACCCTGAGTGAGGGGTGCTATATAAATGTAAGTTGTTGTTTCCAGCTGAAGGCCAGATGAAATGACATAAAATGGTCAACCAGAGCCTAGAGAGAGAGTACAGAGGAGAGGAAAGCAACAATATTTCTCACCGGGGTCTACAGTGAAATGGGATTGAGAAAGTAAATGTAGAACAATACTTTTAAGATATATTAAGGCAGAAGGATAAGTGGGTATAGGTTCATGGATGTAAAGGGCAATATTGAGATGGATACCAGGAAGTGTTTCTTTACCCAGAGGGTGTTTCACAGCTGGGTTGCTAGGAAGGGTGGTCGAGGCCAGGACTCTAGGAATCATTTAAGAAATTGCTTGCTGTTTTAATGGGAAGATAAAAGGGTAGGTATTCCTGGGAGGGTAGGTATAAATGGGCTGAAGGACCTTTTTTTTAATCAAAGATTTCTTGTTAATTTGCCGTTGTGATAGAGAATAAAATGTGGATTTAAAGCTACCTGAATCCTGATGTGAAAGATTAATAAATAGTTGTAATTTTTAGTTACAAATATCTGGGATTTTTTTATTATAATGTTAATTAGCTCGACCACTGAGATATGAAAGTTCTGAATTGATCTGGATTTCCTGATGCCTGGGGGAGCAGAGCTTGTGTAATTAGCTACTAGTTCAATAGATTTTTTAGGCTACGAATCAGACTTGTGCATTCGCAAATTCCCCAAACTAATTTTCCAGCTGTCAATATTGATCTTCCACTGCATTTAGGCTTTGTACTACTTGATTATTTTTTAGAACCAGCTGAATATCTGGGACTTTACCCTGGGTCACGCACCCCATTCCTGTCAGAATAGCAGCTCGCTGGCCGTTGGCAGCCTCTGTCTCTCTGAGCCGTGTGCATGGACAATGGGAATCAGTTTGATTTATATTCAATATTCACAGTAAAGGACTTGGATGTGTAGGTGGTGGGTTTCTCCATCCTCCCTTCTCCAATGGCATCCTAAATCACAGTGTGAGTGAAGTCTGATTCACAGAATACTGTGAGCTGGAATTTCAATGCTGCCCAGATTCACAAACCTCATCATTACCAACTGGTCAGTCAGGGACGGAGACAGCCTCCAGCACATCTAGGGATCACGCAATGTAATAAATATAGAATGTATCACTAAAGTGACCTCAATGCCTTTCTCACAGATTATAGGCGAGTTCTGGATTCAAGCACCTGTCAGGACTTTGAGCTCACAGTCTTAGGATGACATTCAGTGCAATACTGCATTATCAGAGGTGCCGTCCTTCAAATGAAACATTGATTTAAGGTTCTACTTCTTCAGATGGATGTTAGATTAAAGATCTTGCACACTATTAAGAAAATTAGAACATAAAAAATGCTAGATGAAAGAAGCCCAAGTCTGCCTTTCACCATCCTGGCAGTTACATGCACATCATGTCCCAAACTATATACTGTATTCCAAGATATTATTTCCTAAAATAAATCTATAATTATTTTTAAAAGAATCAACATTTAGCCTTAGAATCCCTAGGGAGCCTGTTCCATACATTTGCTACTTGCTTACTGAAATAGTGTTTCTGCAGACGTAGAAGAATGCTGCGATAAATTGGCTGCTAAGTTTCCCTACATTTGACAGTAATTAAGGATGAAGCACTTTTAGACATTTTAGGCACTATTATCAAATCCAAGGATTATGTTATTTTTGGCTAAATAAATAGATTTGATCTTGAGATTCATGTTTTATCTCTTTCTTCACAGCTTCCATATGTACTTCAGGAAATGGTGAACAAGCACATGGAGAGCAGCACTGAGCTCCAGTCTGAGAAGGAGTCATCGCCATTACTCGTGCCCTCGGATGTTGTTCCAACGTCAGTCATCGCCAGAGTCTTGGAGAAACCGGAGCCGCTAATCCTGAACTCTGCCCAGTCGAGCAGTGGCAATCAGCCCATGGCAGAGGATGTCTTTGTCCATGTGGACATGAGTGGGAACACGAATGGGGGCAGGGGTTCAGGGAAAGAAGGGGAGCAGGAGACAGGAAAACCGCCCAATGGAGTGTGCAAGAGGCAGAACAGTACAGACGGTGCGCCAGATGAAACTGCCACCTTCGAAAGGCTGAACCCTTATCCCACGCCACCGCAGAACCTCTTCCCTGGGCGCAAAGCAGTCATTGAGTTCTCTTCTGACGACAAGGTGAAAATACCAAAGAACAGCCCATTGCCGAACTGCACGTATGCCACCAGGCAAGCCATATCGCTCAGCCTGGTCCAGGGGGAGGAAGATGGATTTGAGCGCCATCGAACTGTACCCAACAGCCCTTCATCAGATGGCAGGAGGTCGGCGCAGGTATCCAGCAAGCACCTTCCACAGTCTCCAAAGCCAGGCACTCCCAAATGTTCTGGGAATGAGCTGCGGTCCACTCAGTCCAGTCCCTTCAGCAGCCCCCCGCAAGTCCCCAGCGCGTTTGCCAGCTCCACCAGTTCGGAGGAAGACTTGATGGCCAACTGGCAACGCATGTTTGTTGAGAAGGTGGCGCCAACGTCCGAAAGGGTCATCGCCCACCGGACCTCCTTCAGCAGTGAGACGGCCAGGCAGCTGCAGAACAGCCTGGACAGCAGGATGGATGGAGGCAGTGAGCGGCAGCTACTCTACTCTGACGGAGAGGAGTCTGGGCACAGTTACAGCTGGACAGCCAGTCGGGATTCCAGCCTGGACACAGACAGCACTGAGTCCAAAGTTCGCAGAGGGAGGTTAATGACTGATTACGGTGCAGAGTTCTCACTTGAGGAGGGGGAGCAACTACTGTTGCACACAGCGAGTGGGAATCAACCAGTCAGCCAGCCCAGCTCCAGCTCCCCACAGAAACACAAGGAGTACGTGGAGGTGGGCTCTGGAGGCAGCTCGGCTGAGGAGCGGCACGTCCAACTGCAGGAAAGCCACAGCACGGAGCCTGAGGAGCTTGTGGAAATCGAGGACAAGCCATCAGCTATCCTGGTGGGACGTCAGCAGAAGAGCCCCAAGAGGATGGGAGTCCATCACTTGCTGCGAAAGGATAGCTTAACAAGAGCGCAGGAACAGGGAACACTCCTGGACTAGAGCAAGAAGAACTTCAACACTAACCCTGTGTTCACAGGCAGTGAAAGCTGCTACAATGCAAAACTGTCAGCCACAGCAAAAAAAGAAATCCTTTTTAACATTTTGTTGTGTGTGTGTGTGTGGGGGGGGGGGGGAGGGAAATTGCAAATTGTTCGTAGAAATTTGCATAAATCTGGGCAAAAACTAAACAACTTTGGGTAGTTTAGCTGATCCTGGGTGCAAACTCAACTTCAGTATTTTCTAAGAAAACTTTTGTATGAACAAAAATCATTGTTGAAAAAAATCAGCAGGTTGTAGAAGGCAGAATCCATCATGGATGATGGCTAATATTCTGGGCAGTGTCTGTGCCTCTGTGAGTCTGTATGTGCTTGTGTGTGTGTGTGTCCTTTTGTCCCACTTGCCCGCTGTGAGAAACAATATGAGTGACCTGCTCTGTGAACTATTTGGCTGCAGCTCCCTTCCTGTGCTGCTGTGGTAATACTGTAGATTTAATGTCACCTGATAATATAGCGAAGACATTGCTGACATTGGCCTTACTTTAACCTAGCAGAGAATGCAACCACCTTTGTAACCTATTTGTTTCAGCCTCTCTCCAACAAGCCGTTAGTGGTTTCATCTTTTTCCTCTAATTTTTATATTTCAAGTATATAATTACTCATCCTTTTCAGCCATTGTGCACATGTGTGTATGGCAAGCATGTCTGTTGACATGAGCAGGCTTTTAGTCAGTAACTGGAGGAAGGGACCAAATCGTAAATATTTTAAATATATATAAAATCTTTACGCGACCAGTCACTGAGTGGAGATGGGTTCTATCTCAGCCTGCAGCGATGAGATTTTGAATCCCTCCTGCATTGAGGGCACTGGTCTCCAGCAGTGACTGGAGAGGTGCCCACAGCTTTAATCTGAGCAGTAGTGTGAATATAAACTGTTAACATCTGGAAGCAAATGTAGTGAGGTCAAGGCGCTGCTCCGCTGTTGGAGAATTACATATCTGAAGTCTAGTGTTAACAAAGAGGTCACTGCGGCTGGTTTGCCTGCGGTGTCTCAGTCTGTCCTATGACTGACTGTACCGGCCGAGCAATCAAACCGTGTCTGATTAGTTTACCAAAGCTCTTGCTGCTTTACTCATCCATTCAAGTGGTGGTGGGTCAGCTTCCTATAGTGTGGGCTCAGGGCCAAGTGTTCGATATGTCTCAACTTCATTTTCTCTACCTCTTTATTTCTTCTTCTTCCACACTCACTCCAAACAAATCACTCCTTTCTGGAGCATTGTTCCCAAAGCAGCTGTTCAAGTATATGAGACTTAACAAGTGAGTGTCGGGACATCACAGCTGAGTTCCTGTCCTCTCTGGTCATTCACAAGCTAATTTCTCAGCAGGGGTAAGTGGGGGTTCCAGATAGTGATTTAGCTGTTGGATCCCTGAATGATTTTCTCCTCGCTACCTCAGGAGCCTTAAAAGCAATGGTTGCCCCGGCTGAGATCTGCTGACACTATAACCTGGTCTGCATGACTCAACTACTGACCAGGTACACCCTCTGAGGCATCAGCAACACTTTACTTTCTACAGTTAATTGCTGTCAAAGCGTTCAGTAAAATTAAGTGGAAATGGGGAGTAGACCTAGAAATTTTACATTTGTCAATTGCTGTTTGCAATGTTCCCTTTGGCCCCGCTACATGAAGGAGATTCCACAGATTATTTAGAGATTGCTGCTGTTGCATTCCCATGTCTTCCACGTCTTAAAACATTTCATTTTATTGAAATCTAAATGGTACATCCTGAATTTGGGGGTTAAACAAACACTTTCAGAGTGAAATGATCAAACCGCCAGGTGTGTTGTTGATGTGTCACCTTTCTTATTAATGTATGTAAACCTTAGTGTTGTAAACACTAACTGCTTGACTAGTCAGAGCGAGCTGCCTCTCCCATTGCTGGATCCGCTTATGCACTCGAAATACATTCTTCAGCCACTGTGCAGTGGCTGGTAATGTGATTCATATACAATCCTCTATGTTGGTGATGACACTACGTTATTTAATGCTGGATTTTCAGATGCACTAACGCTGGATTCTACTTCACAACATTTTGCCCTTGTTGCTTAGTTGTGTAACTAATTGTTGGTGCTTGTGATTCAGATAGGCCTGGTTTAATAGTTACTTATCAGGAATATTGCTGCTGTAGCTATTTTTCTTTCCTACTGTAAACCTTGGGGTTTCCTGAAGCTTTTTTTTCTTGAAATAGTAGAAGGTGCAATGTTTTTTTTTGTATTTGACTAACATAATTAGATGGTACTGGAATCTGCCTATCCAGCCCAATTTATTCCCTTTAATCCACCTCCAAGTAGAACTGGAGTGAAAGCATTAAAACCAAGAGTTCAGGACTCTGACAATCGATAGTGGACCTGAGACCCTGACAGGAATGCACATGTGGTAATAGTACTTTTATTTTGTTATGTGTTGGTTACTGGAGATCGACAAAGCCACAAGGAAATGATACAAACTTCCATCTCATCTATTTGATTTCCCAGGCAGCCAGACATGGCTGACAGAACAGTCAAAGCCAATTTGATCCTTGCTCTGCTGCTTGTAAGATCTGCCATTTTGTTTCTGTCTCCACCCCCTCACCATGGATGGTCATTAACAAGTGTTGGAGCTGCTCAATTCAGAAATACCCTTGAGTACTGATTTAATCATCAGGAATTGGTACTAAGTATACTCAGGGGTTAAGATTTGTTCGGAGGGCAATGGAGCCAATGGAATGTTAATGACTAGTGTAAAATAGGTTAATGAGTGTGCCTTTTAATTCTGTAGCTTGCAATATCGGTAAGCAGGTTTCATTTCCTCACTTTCATTTTAGTACTCTTTCACAAAGCTAGATTTTGACCTGAGGGCTGGTTTGCAGCCAAAGAAGAAAACGTGGTAGTTGGCTGCTCGAATTGAGTTGTTCAGACCTGGGGTGATGGGGTTTGTTGACTGGGGGTAAATTACACCTGGCTCTGAAATTATTCTATTTTCTTGGTATTCAAAGTGTGCATAATCTAGTTTTCTGTAGGTTCTTTTAAGATCCCCCAAATTAAGCTTGAATTTAAGAACTTTCTAAATCCTGCAAGCTTTCAAAAGCTCCAAAATAGTACAAGTTTAGACTGAAGTATAAATCTAGGGTTCTACAATTGCAAAGGTTGGCAGAAACTGCTAGATGCAGAAATTAACTCACACCTTGGGACATCCTTCCAACGTGAAAGGTGCTATAGAATGTAATTTTTGTTTTTTTTGTTTGTTAACTTGTCTTTTGTTGTTAGCCCAGTTGTTAGTCGATTGGTGGATCGCTTTCCGGGGGTAATAATCCCTCCCCCCCCCTCCATAAAAAAATAATTTGGCCACTCAATCTACGGCTATTGGAACAATCAGCTGCCAAGTTTCGCCCACAAAATATGGTCAATCTATTTTACAATATACCCTGTTAAGCGCTTTGAGACGTCTCAATAACTTGATAAGGCACCATATTAAATGCAAGGATTATTATTTAAAATCCAGTTAAAATCAGACATTTTAAGACAAAATGGACTTAAAGGCTAAGACTGAGTGGAATTTGGACCTCTTGAGGTTGGTGCAGCTGCTGTTTTTTTTTTTGCTGTTTCTCCCGACGTACCAATATTTGTGCAACACTCTGGGCTACCAGTGAATCCCTCTAACTGACCTGTGTGACAGTGTTTGTTTTACATTTCATCCCATCCCTGTTTGATGCCTGATTTCCCTTGAAGCAAAGTGGTTTCTCACCGAGGCAGGTTAAGAGGCTGCAGCTATTGCCTAACCTCTGATCTTCCATCCCACTCCAGCTATTTATTAAACTGCAGCATATTTAATTTGTATATTTTTGAGGAACTCCTCGGTTGTACAAAGTAAACATGCAAGTACAAGTGCAAATAGGAGCTTGCTATAAGCAGGTGGTTTGGGGTGGTGGGGTTCGTTCATGTTGCTCCCCTGTCCACTCTTTTCCCTCCCCCCCCCCCCCAATCACACCGCCACCCGTAGCTTCCTATTGAGCCTTGCCTCCTGGATATCTGCAATTGTTACAGATAAACTATGTAAGCCACAGATAAATCTGTCCCTTGTGTGCAGAAAGAGAATGGGTTTGCTGGTTTTAAGAGGCGACGTGGATTGCAATAAGACACCTGCGTGGAAAAGATGCATCTGATTGCATTGCCATTCGGTGAAACACTCCATTTCACACGCGCTGAGTCTCGAGTTGCTGCTGCACTGTAACGTTCGCTGTTTCTCCAGGTGTTCCACAAGAACCATGTCTCGCTGTCTGTTCCCTTGTTTGGAATGTGCTGCCGCTGTGGGAGTTCTGAGGGAATAGCAGTGAAGTGACTGATGTCTGCTTTTGCCTTGCGTTGATTTTTCTGCGTAACTCACCAATTCTGAATTTTTTAACTTACTTGCAGATGAGTTTTCAGTAAATTAACATAACAGTATTTCCAAGGAGCCTGGAAATCGTCTTTCACAGCATGTGGTTTCCAGCATCTTCAGTGTGTTTTTTTTATTTTACTTGAAATGTTTCTCCACAATCAGCAGCAGGATACTTAAATCAGCAATTTGAAATAGCTGCAGGGCTGGGTGGACACAGGGTGCAGCTGCAGAGCTAGGAGTGTAAGCGTGATGCTGCGTTGATGCAGGTGTGCAGCTGCAGGGCAGTTGTGCATGTACCTGACCACCAGCTTCAGTGCACTGCTCATTCTGGATTTCGAGACAGTGTAGGTAGGATCTGGGCTGTGTTTCACTGGATTTCTACAAGGTGATGAATAATCTTAGTTTCCTGTACGTTACTGTCTAGTCAAAACCATGCGAGTGAAATGTTCCACACTATATGGAGTTTCAGATCCTGGGGCCAGCAATGCCACTTCAGTTGAGTCAGCATTTTTTTTTAACCTTCGAGCTGATTTGTCTGTATTTGCATTAAGATCCCTTGAATCTTAAATTGGCTCAGCTTTAAAAGCTTGTGAGCCTTCATTGGGAAGTGCCAGTGCCCATCCTGTCTTTCTGTGGAATCTTTAATTGTGTAATCATTGACTTTCCAGGGTTAACCTTCAGCTCTCTCCTTC